GTAATGTTTAGATTAAGTATTGGTAAGTATTGGATAGATTTATGGCAATCCATGTACTGGGTGAGGGAGGGGTGTTGGGTTGAGGAGGCGGGGTCATTACATTCAAACACCTCAACACCCACTGAACTCCCCTCTCCTTTCAAATTTACCATTTAGACAAAGATAATAGATTCCAGTCATCACACATATGTACATGTAAGATTAAAACAAATTGTCCCCCAATCAAATCAAATGTAACTGTAGTCAATACACTGTTTATATAAGACTTTGTATAGTAACATAATGTAATTGATGCACTGTTTATTAAGAATTTGTATGGTAACACGGTTCACATCAGAGGGATCTGGCAGTTTGGATTTTTGAGGAGAGATGTGATATGAGTGGGACATGAATGTTGATTGGTGCTGTAATGACTGGACAATTTCATCCTCAACATTTGCTTTTGGGATGATGATGATTGCTAGTCAATGTCATGTTGGATGACATCACACCTTGTGATATATCTTGATTGAGTGGAGGTCAGCCACTACCAGCTGGCCATTGGATGTGAATGTGATTCCACGTGGGAAACACAGACCCTGAGCCAGGCAATCAAGAAACCTGCCATCTTGGTCATAGTGGTGAATATGACCAGTGCCAGCCACACCTTGGTCCACTGCAAGGTAGATGCCTGAGCTGTCACAGCATACACCACCACACCACACTGGCTCACCATTGATAGTTGGTTTGATGGTGGTGTGTATAGAACCTTTACAGTCAGCAATATCCACTTTCTTTGTATGGAATCCACAGACCACAACTCTATCAGTGTCGTCATCAACAGCCAGGTATTGAGGTGGAGTCTGCACTGGTATGGTGTGTAGGATCTCACCATCAGTGGGTCTGTGTTCAGTCCACACCATTCTTTCTATGTCTCCTACTAAAATAATACCATTTGTCCTGACTGTTGTGCTCTTTAGGTTCACTTGTGTCTCCTCAACCTCACTCGGTGCTACCGTTGGGAATTTGAAGTCAAGAGTGTTGTCCTTCATGTTGAGTGCCTTGACATACTTGCTTCCATCTTCCAACACAAACAAGCGTTGCTCAGGATTGTGGATGGCTGCAACTGCCTGTGGACCTGTGGGTAAATAAGAACTCAAATGTAACATATGCACAGTATGTAAATGCACTGTCACTATTCTCAGTCCCCATGAAATACAAAATACCTAATGAATACATGGCCTGCCTCAAAGCCCGGTAATGTACAAATAGTACATCAACATTGTGTGGTCTCCAACCACCATACATGTTGTGAATAACTGAAACGTCTTGGAGACTCTGATTGCAAATACATGAACATGTACCTGTACCTGTACCTCGATGTTCATGTACCCTCTGTGCTAATTTCAGTGCTAATTTCATGTTTATTTTTTAGCTGAAAAAGTTATTAGATTTTCAAATGAAGCATTGAACAAAATATAGAGCAATTTTTAGTTATCAAAAGTTTAAAACTTTGAATTAATAACTCAGTTCTTAAAAAGTACACTAATGCCTGCCGTATGTCAGAATTTACTTGAGGTTTGCGTTTGTCTATAAAAAATGGGTGGTTGGGCATGAAACATTGGTACAGTATATTCGTCAGTTGTATGTTTTAGAGAAAAAAAAGGAAGAAATGAACTTAAGCATTTTTAGTCCAAGCGTTTAAGAATTTGAACAAAAATTCATCCTTTTATTAGGGATTGATAGTTTTCAAAAACTATTATTTACTTGTCAAGTTACTTCTGGCAAAATGCATCTTTTCCAAAGTTTCCCGACATTGACTTCTAGTCTGATGAGGTCAGCATTATGAAATTTGAGAAAGTATTTTTATTGTCCAAAGAATATTTATGAGCAATTTGAAAAAATTGTTGACAAATGATCTTTAAATACCAAGAAAAAAAATATAACTTATTGAAACATGCCGCTAGAGCTTACTTAAGCTACACTGGTGCCATCATGGTTTTTATTGGCTGTTTCGGCCAATGGCCAATAAAAAACAGCCTTTGTTAGCTGTTTCGGCAACTGGCCGAAACAGCCTTTTTTTTTATATTATGTGCAAAATCACGTAACCCTTCCTTCCAGTTGAACCGGAAGTGCCTTGAAATTTAAAATTGGTGAAAGATGTGAACTTGCTTTCAATGATGAATGCTATGGCTTAGTTGTTATTTACAAACAAAAATATAGTTATAGATGAAAATTAATGTGACGTCATCATGACATTATGACGTCACATGTGATGTCAAAAATCAAAGCCCTATGGGAATGTAATCACATATTATATTCACTAGTTCCTGGATGGAACTTATACTTGAAACTTTACATGGTCACTTGCCACAACAAAATTCCAAAACAGCCCTGTGTTTTTGTCCACAAACATAAGTCTAGTTTTCTTTAAAGTTATTTTTTTGTTCTTGTTTTTTTCTTTTTCAGACTTTTGTCCATAGCATTTGTACACGTTTTCATCGTGCCCAGCACTTTGGGCACTAAAATCAACCCGATTGCCTTTGGCACACGCTTAGACCAGCACCTGCTGCTGTGTCATTATGACATCACCAGTCACGTGACTTCACAATATAGGTTCATATTTTGAAAGCCTATATCTCCAAAAGTGCAGGTCCGATTTGGTTGAAACCTGGCATGTACGTTTTAGAAAGGGATGTGTTATAGATGAAAATTTAAGTGACGTCACGATGACATAAACGTGACGTTACGTTATAGATCAATGTATGTAGATCTAATCTTGAAAATCAATATAAAATCAACCATGAGAGACCTAAACTAGAGTTTTGCGGGAATTGATAGAATAATCCAGGGTCTTCATTTTTGATATTACGTGCAAAATCACATGACCCTTCCTTCCGGTTAAAACTGGAAGTGACTTGTAATTTGAAATTGGTTAAAGATGTGAATTGCTTTCAATGATGTATGTTGTGGCTACGTTTATTCTAAATTAACGGTGACGTCATGAAATGTTAGAGCGCCCTCTAGCAGCAGGTTGTTATAGTTAATTTTAGATGAAAATTAATGTGACGTCATCAGGATGTCATCACGTAACATGGGATGTAATAATTTAAAGCCCTATGAGACTGTCATCACATATTTATTATACATACATCCTTCCTGGATGGTCTTGAAAATACATGTATGTCACATATGTCGAACAAAATTTACCGAAACAGCCCTGTGTTTGCCCACACATAAGTCTAGTGTTATTTGTCATTGAACATTTCCTGAATAAGTTTTATTGTAGTAAACTGCTTGTGTTTTCAAGTTACATTCATTATTTGTTTAAATTTTTTTAAATTTTATTTCAGCCACATCCAACAGCGCAAGCGCCAATAACAGGATGGATAAATGGAGAGTAGACAATGAGAAGAAGTTACAGTTTTAAAAGTGGGAGGAAAAGCCCAGAAGAATATTCTGGGGAAAACCCACGGAATCGGACAGGGACTGAAAACCCAATCCACATATTGTCCCAGGCGGGATTCAAACCCGGGTCACAGCGGTGGAAGGCGAGGAAAGTACTGCTACGCCAACCTGACTCCCCGATCATTGCATATCCGATAACCCTGGAAGCAAAGGTCAAACAGATTTGTGCCTGGGAGTCAAATACGATGCTCAAGGCAATTTCAATGTCTACCACCTCACATCAAAAGAACCTTATAATACTGAACGTTAATGTTGTCAAGATTTGACATTGAAGGGGCACATTGTCCTGAAATAACAAAATTTGGTTTAAAACTGTTCAAACAAGTTTAAACAAGCTTTATACTGTATATGTGTCCATGATGTCAGACGATTCAATGTACACAAATATATGGTATCCTGTGTGTGAGACTATGTGTACGTGTGCGACAGGATTCACGCTGCACCTAAACAGCTCAATTTTGAGAGTCAAAATTTATGACCCCAGAAATTCATTCTTGCAAGAATAACACACACACTGCCAACTTTTAACCCTAACCCTCAGGAAGCATGCATCCTCTTTCAAAATCCTCAAAAAAATTGCACTTCATGTTCAAATGAAGGATACCCAGCACCTGAATCCTTCAAAATTGTCAGACAGTCCTGCCTCAAAAATACATCCATCCTCAATCCTCCAAAATCCTCTTCTTCTTCAAACACCAGTCATCCTCAATCATCCAGGAGGGTTTAGGAAGGATGTTTGTGTGGACGTTAATATGCTCTTTGTAGCCCAATGGGGTGCTTTCCAGGATGCAGTATCTCTTTAAATCACTCTTATTTGATAATCTGTGACGTCATTGTACATGTATATCACCATTTTTGTCACATCTTTGTACAACAGTGCATGTTTTACAATGTTTTGTCTTCATACAATGTACTTTGAACCGTAAGGGAGAAATTCCATTGGTTTTAAAACTCATGCTGCTTTCGCAGTATTTTGAATTCACCAAAAAACTTTGACAGTTAACCCCAGAAGGTTAACCCCTATTTTGCTTGGTCTTAAAAAGACCAAGCAAAATAGGGACAATAAGGGGTCCCCAATTGTAAGCAAATACACACTTGGGTGTGTGTGGGTAGGCCTATTTTTGTGTTTAATGGCACACTGCGGTATTTTCGTAGGCCCCAAAATTTTGTGTACAAAAAAAACAATGTAGGCCCCCAAATTGTTCGTAAGACCTACTTGTACATGTAGGCACAGTGCTTACTGTGCCTATTGGGTTATCTGGGCCTGCATTATTGTCCATACAAAAGCAAAGCACCAACACGAACACTACAGAAGAACAAAGAGAAAACCAAAGGCTGATCTTGATGGGCCCTTAATAAAGGGATCAGGCCTAGAACACTCTACTCACAGGGCAGATTGGTTTCTTTGTGAAACAACCTAAAGGTAACTTCGCTCTTTTCTAAAGGTTACAGACCCCCTAAATAAGAATTTTTTTGGTGACATGAAGAGTTAAGTTGCTAGGAGAACAAAATCAAATTTGCACTGCCAGCGCATTAATTCCTTGCAAGTTTTTTTATTGGTTTTCATTCTCAGTTGTCAGATCTGCATGTGCACATGGAAGACTTAATTTCCACACAATTATGAAAGTTTGTGTTGATGGACATGTGCATGAAAGAAACTTACGTTGTAGGGGAATGGTTCCCTTGTGTTGTCCCTCATTGCTGCAGATGACCACTCGTTTGTTCCTATAGTCTGCCACAGCAATCTCACCAGGTTGAGTAGCAGTAATATCTAGAGCCCCATCAAACTTTCCTGGACCACTTCCTCTTTTACCAAACTCACGTAGCATCTCCCACTTGCCTTTGACTGCCAGCTTGCCCAGATTGATGTCACCAATCCTCTGACCCGGGGTGAAGCTCAGATATGAAAGCTTGGGATCAATCTGGGGAGGAGTTTGGCTCTTTGCTGATGATAGGAAAGAGGGAAAGCAAATCAGTGTCAGATGCAGTTATAATGATATCCTGGGATGTCCCCAGCGAATGTTGTTTACTTTGTAGCATCAATGTCAGTATTGACTGATACTTATCATATGTTCTGTTGCGATCCTGCTGGAGTTGTTTGTTTTGTCAATCATCTTTGTTTCTTGAGTTGTAATCTAAGCTCTTATTTTATCCGCTTTGTCTGTTACAGCTTTCACAGTCTTTGTGACGTTCTGTGTAAACCTCCGCTAATTAAGCTTGTGGTGAAGTGGACAAAGAGTGTTCAAATCTTTTGATGTCTGCATGGGCATCAATTGGTGGGGGGTCCCCACTTTTTAAAGTGGTGGGGATGTCATTTTCCCCTCCCCCACCACCACCCCTTTCCTGTCTGCAAATAAACATTGTAAAATACATATAGCTCAGAATATCTGAGTCAATGATTTCAAACTCAACAATTATGTTAAAATGATGATCTTGTGCTCAAAAAATAGTTAAAGTATTCAGCATATGCCTCAGATCAGATCACAGAGCATCTAGAATGCATAAATTTTTTTTTGGGGGGGCCACGCCATTAATTATGTTAAAATGATGATCTTGTGCTCAAACATTGGTTAAAGTATTCAGCATTTGCCTCACATCAGACCACAGAGCATCTAGAATCCATACATTTTTTTGGGCCCCCACGCCATTAGGTTTTGCTCTTTGCGCTCGCATTTGTTCTGGTCAAAGTATGTCCCCCACCCCCCTCTTTTGAGAAGCAATTGACGACCTTGGATGTCTGTGGTGAGACAGAAGCCTGTCCAGAGTCAGTGTAGTGATGTTTTGGTGTACAGTGGTTTACTACAGTTACAAGCTCAGCAGAGTATCTCTCACATGCCACCCTTGTGTTTCTTGCATTTAGACTCATCTTTTTCTGGTGTCTTATTCACTGAACTAACCACCTTTATTGTGAGACCTCCTCAAATATATCCCCATCAAATGGAAATTTGTTTTGAGGCCTTGAATGTGTGTCTCTGATGAGAGTACTGTCTCCAGTCAACACACAGGCCAAGGAATCTTTGGTTGACCTCCATATACCTGCTGGTGTAGTATTTCTCCAGACATTCTGCACAACAGCTGTGCTGGCAATTCTTATGCTGTTTATACATGTATATCTGCCATGACAGATGTCACACTCGATGTTCTTTAGAGCTGTAGCCATTTTATGTGTATCCAAAGGGTATTTTTAAAAAATTGGAAAGGTTATAATACAGAGATAACTTATTTTATTTTAAATTAATACTGCACTGTCTATGTGAGTTTCACCCGGGCATAACAGACCAGTACCGGTATTTCTTTCAATTGCTATTTCGTAACCAGAGAAAAGTTAATCAAGACATGGATTTTAAAAAAATGGTGGTTGTTTTGTGACCACTCATGTTATTACTAAATAGGTTTTGTTGGAACATTACCACTGTACATACTCTACATTTTGTTGTTTCAGGCAAACTGTGATTTCCTACTCTTGTATCGGTAAGCTAGCATTTAACCACATTCAAAATACACGAATGTAACTGACAACATTTGCTTACATCTTTTACATTCCCACCAAATCACTTAAAAACAAATTTTTCCAATTTGACGCAAAGAGCACAAATAGTTGAGGTGTTTGATGGGATGGATCCAGTGTACACCAGATTTACAAATCGCCCAATGGCAACTTTTGGCCTGGCTTAAAGCAAAGCAGAAGCCTGCACTTCTGTTGTGATGCGCAATATTGACGGTGTCAGTTGGTGCAAATTGAGCAGAACTGGCAGACACAGTAGTGGCCGCCACCGGGACCCACAACTCCATGTCCTGTGGCCCCCAGGAACATCTCGGGTTAGCCTCTTCGCGCAGACAAAACTGTTCCTCCTCCACGTGCCATCCCAAGCCCCTAAAAAGGCAGGCAGCCATCCTCATTGTCTCCACATATTTGATCTGCTCACCTACGCGGAGAGGGTAACGCACCACATAAATGGCCATAAAAGTGTGGAATGCTGTCAGCCATTTATCGATATCAATTTTGTTTTTCACGGGGAAATCTGGTTTGCAGACGATCGAGCCATTCTCAAGTGCCAACTTCGGGATTCTCTCATGGATGATGACTAGAGAAGTCGCGGCTGTGTCATTAAATAAAAGCAGCAGATCAACGTACCTGTCGCTTCATATTTGTTTCCTAAACATTAATCGGGACTTGATAAATGAGGGTGCTTTGCCCTGACCCGACAAGTTCTGGTCTGGTCTAAGTATAAAGAATGGGAACTCAGTGCCGAGGCCGGTACAGGCTGGCTATTGCGAAGGTGAGTGACAGAAGTGTCATGCCTCGTATTACTACCAAATACACTAACCTGATCAGCCGTGTCTGAGTCAGTAAGTTAGAAATGTTCAGTGTTCATGGTAGGCAATGCTAGAGCCTTAGACTCACCCTGGATTCGTCGTTGGCGTGGTCCACTTCCCCTACTCGGTCCAGGAACTTGGTCAAGCTTCGGCTCCTCTGCTCGGTCCCAACCTTGCTGCTGGCATCCCACTTCCGGAGTCGTTACATCCTCCAGCTGTGACTGCCGTCCACGCACTCCTGACTGGATAGCACACAAACGAGGTGACCGGCGCAGCTTCCTGGCATCCTTCCCTTTCCCGGATGCTTGAGCTGAGGCTGACCGATTGGCTTTAGGCATCTTCAAAGGACAAGGAAACTAAAACACGTTTAATGGGAAAATGAAAGCTGAGAAAACATGGATGGCGTACACTTCAAAAGAAAATCTAAAGATGAGAAAATCAAAATTGAAAGCTGAGAACGTGAATAATGTTTCCACATTCATTTGCTGCAACGAAGTAGGCCTCACCACACGGCAACAGCCCAAGCATTGCCTCTATCCAATCACGTTACTCCTGGACTAGCCAATCAAACTTGTTAATACATTTTCATAAGCCCCAACCCATTCCTTAGGCAGGAAACCAGTTTGTGCAGAGTGTAAGATAATTTATCGTTCAGTTGATAAAATTAATTCATCAATACTGTACTGTCCGTGTGAGTTTGGGCAAGAAAGACCAGTATTTCTTTTCAATTGCTTTTTAGCAGTCAGACAAAAGTTATCCTTTTTGAAACAGGACATCAAATAAATCCTGTCAAATTTTGAAGAGCTCTGACATTTTGAAGTGCTCTGATGGTTTGTTTCCACTCTTGTTATTACTCAATACTAGTAGGTTTTGTTGGAACATTACTACTGTGTGTACTCTTCGCATTTTGTTGTTTCAGGCAAACTGTGATTTCCTAAACTTGTATCAGTAAGCTAGCATTTAATCTCATTCAAAATATTTTCTAATCCTTTTTTTAATTCCCCAGTCTAATCTATTAAAGATGATGTTTATCACGTAAAGAGCACAAACAGTTGAGGCTTTTGATGGGGCAGATCTGGTAAAGATGGCGCTGGACAAACACAGTATCGTCATCAAGTCGTGTGACATGGTTTATATATATAGAGCTTTGGATTTTTGTTGTGCTGCATACGTATACATGTACAATCTGTATATATCGGTTTATCTGTGTACATATTTACTTGACACTTGAGTTTTGGACCTTAGATGGGTGCATGCATTCTATTTATATGTACATGCTGCACTTTGTTAAATTTCAATCGCATACACCTCACATACATTTAATTCCACTCAGTTTTTTTTTCAACCATCAAATAAAATAAGCTGTCAAAATATTTTGATCAAGTCCTTCATACATGTATTTCTCACACACAAAAGTTTCTTTTATCTTGTAACAATACTGATCAAGAATTTTCAGTCTATTTGAAATTTGTCCGTGCATATCCGTGCTACTGGGGGAAGTTGAGTGTAATGAAGTACGACAGAATTGACTGTACATAAATTTATAAGGGGCGACTATGTCCTGATCAGTTGGAAACCAAAACAAATCAAATGAGAGGAGTTGCCAAAAGTTACCCAAACAAACAGTGGTACACCCAATGGAGAGGGGGTGGCTTTTAAAAAATAAATAACAGGACTGTGAAAAGTTTCGAATTTTCTTGGCTCTGTACTTAAAGATTCTAATTGAAGAATGTAGCTATAAAGACCATTGTTGATTATAAAATGCTATATAAACCAACTCAGAAGGATATGAAAACTGTCAAGTCCAATCAATGAAAAAAATAATGTAAAAATAGACTCCTGTGATTTCTAAACCCAATGGACATCCATGACATGCAGATTAGTAAAATTTTAGTTGTCATCCAGTCCAGAGAATATTTTCCTCAATAAATCGTCTCGGTTTTCTTCTAAATATTTTCCACAGGGAGCAGCAGTGACTGGATCCCAAGTAGCAACTTAGAGGACATACCAGGCACAGCAGCTAACAGGATGCCTAACTTCCCCCATCAAGACACTGTCAAGAGAGGATGGCTTTCAAATGAACAAGTAAGCATCTCACCCCTCCACCACCCCCACTACACTCAATCAGCATGCGTTCAGGACTTGAAAACTGTTTACACTCAGGAATGAAGGAAGGGAGAGTCATCGCAAATAGAGGGCGCTGTGGCATATTTATTTGTTGGGGATCTGATGAAAAGGTGAAACAACTGACATTGTCAGCGGCTCTGAAGACTTGCAGACTGGTCCAAGAAATCTGAAATTTATTTGACCAGCTGGAATCCACACATAAAAGTGTCTGCCTATTTTATGTGTCAAACAAAGTAATCCAAAAATAATAAGTTGATGAATATGTAATTGCCAAAACTTGTAGAAAAACGTTCGTCACACAGTCATTAATAGTTAAACACATGTGAAAGTTTGAACCCAATTCCACAGTTTCTGTTGTATGGTTCATCTGAGTTGTGGGATTCTGTTGGATTCAGGAGACTTCACTTTGTGGGTTTCTTTGGAGGTCGAGGTTTCCATGTGGAATAACAATGTAACAATTTCAAGGCATGATTGTTCTTTTTAATTTTTAGATGAAGAAAAGAGCTACTACAAAGAACTACAAAGAACTACAGAGTGGTAAGTGAATTCTTATTCTGAATAAATGAATGACTTTATTTCTGTTCATTTCATTTCCAAACATCTGATTTTACAAGTCAATTTGAATATTTAATTGTAACAACAGAGTTTGAAAAGTGTCATCAAAATTGACTAATTGTTTGCTGAAACTCTAACTGTATGAGGGCGTGATTCTTTCATTGTTTTGAAGTTTGCTGAAATTGCAACCAAATAAGTAAAACAATGAAAACAGAGGTATGGAATTGAATTCTCGAAAAGGCAAGGACATTTCAAGGAGGCAGTCAGTCCAAAATCAAGGCAACGGAGGCCATAGCTTCCTGAAATTCAATACCATTGATTTGAACATTTGTTAAAATGATTGGCAACCTTTTACACTTGAAGAATTTGTAACCTTCGAAGAGAAATAATAAAAATTTCCATCAAGGTAATGCCTTGAGAGTAAAGTTTACACAAGTCTTTATTCTGTGAATTCAGACAGGAAACCAAATGAATAGGATAAGTATTTGTGCTCATCTTTAGCAGACATTTTGATGATTAAATGATCATCCACATTAGTGTTTCATTGATATAAACGCAAATGTACAAAGCTTGTAAATAATAACAAAAAACATGATTTCTGTGAAATTAACAGAAATTAACAGAAAAACTTAATAATTAAAATTGTACAAGCTGTAATTTCTATTATCAGAAAATGTAATGTAGAGATTGCACAGTATACAATGAGTAGATGTATGTTCTATTAGGAACCAATTGAAGAATATACATAAAGGGAGTTTACAAAGTCTTGTTGTGACTACTAAGATCTACATACAGTGGTGAACTGTTAAACACTTAAAAGTCTACTTGAACATTTAATTTTTACAATAAGATTGATACTTTGCAAACAAATTATAATTTTTTCTCTAAAACCCAAACTGAAGTGATGATTTTTTTTTATTGTCCAGTTTTCTGAAATGGCAACCAAAATGCAAAACAATGAAAACAGAGGTGTGCAATTAAATTATTGAAATGATGAGGAAATCTGTTTGGTTTGTTTAGGAAAAAACTTTGATTAGAAATTTGCTATTTGTGTGGAACCTTTTCAAGGTGGCAGTCCGGCCAAAATCAAGGCAACTGAGGCTGTATAGCTTTCTGAAATTAAGCTTCAATTGAATTGATTTCTAATCATTCAAACTGAAGGGATATTTGACAGTCTGAGAAAAATGTCAACAAAATTTCAAATCAAGATAAAAACATTCTTGTAAACATGAGTCTTAATTCTGTGAATTAGGACAGGAAACCAAATTAATTTTCACTCATCTTTAGCAAACATTTCAATGTGTGAATTATCTTCAATATACTTGCAAGTGCATCGTTAATTCAGATGTGTAAACAGAAACTGCAAAATGTAATATAACAACTAAGTAAATAAAGGCTATATTGAACAGTAATCGAGTACTAACTATCATGGTGATGCGTATGCTTAAAATGAATTCAAACAATACTGTTTCACAAAATACTTGTGGTTACATCTCAAGGATGAAGTGGTTGTAAAACTGTCTCAAAATTTCTGTTATCAAAAGTACTATATATAATGGACAACATGTACATGTAGATTTCATTAGGAACACATTTCAGAATCTCAGGGAGTTTACGAATTCTTGGCTTTGTCTCCAGCTTTGGCTTCTACTATTAAAACTCTGCCTCTGATGAGGTCAAGATATAAACCTCATGAACACTGTCAACACAATTCTCCATTCTGTGAATGAAGATCTGAAACCACATTAATAGAATGAGCTTTGTCACTCATCTTTAGGATACATTTGGACAAGTCAATTGACTTGAAAAGCAGCGTTTTATTAATTAAATCTGTACGTGAAACTGCAAAAAGTAACACAAAATCAACTGAGTGAATAAAGGCTTACTTCCATCATCAACAATTTAAGAATCTTAATTGTGTTTATGAAATCTTTGCTTAATCCCTGGCTTTGGCTTAGAACTGGCTTCATGATTTTTGTCCCCTGATATAACATCAGTACAATATTGGTCCATTTTTTTCTTTAGAGACACCAAATCCTGTCACACAAGGCCAATGGATGGTTGGTGCATTTTCACTGAGTTTAAATGTGGTAGGATTCTTAGGAATCTATGGCCAGAGATGAAGCGGAAGCCACAACGAGGCCGGGGTTTCATAAACACCACAAACAGTTGGTAAGCATTGGATAGATTTATGGCAATCCATGTACTGGGTGAGGGAGGGGTGTTGGGTTGAGGAGGCGGGGGTCATTACATTCAAACACCTCAACACCCACTAAACTCCCCTCGCCTTTCAAATTTACCATTTAATTTAGACAAAGATAATAGATTCCAGTCATCATACATGTAAACAAATTGTCCCCCAATCAAATCAAATGTAACTGTAGTCAATACACTGTTTATATAAGACTTTGAAAAGTAACATAATTTAATTGATGCACTGTTTATTTAAGAATTTGTATGGTAAAATGGTTCACATCAGAGGGATCTGGCAGTTTAGATTTCTGATTTTTGAGGAGAGATTTGGAATAAGTGGGACATGAATGTTGCTTGTGGTGATGTAATGACTGGACAATTTCATCCTCAACATTTGCTGTTGGGATGGTGGTGATTGCTAGTCAATGTCATGTTGGATGACATCACACCTTGTGATACATCTTGATTGAG